CATATATATATTCATCTAATACTGTGTGCAGTCCAAAGTAAATGCCATATGAATTGTGAGCAGGAAACCATAAACCAGTATTTTTGTTGACAAGTTTACTCTCCCAAAACAATGTTAAAATGGTGAAAATTGTGTAGACTATGGCTTAAATACAATCTATAGTAAGTGTAAGTAAGTCGTATGTGAAAGGTAATTCCGTCTTATTTTGTTTGGACATCTGAAGTGTTAGAATATTTCCAAGCCACACAACTACGAGGCATTGTGCTTTCTCCTCTCTGCCACCTCCAATATGGCGGCGACATGGGAATGCCGTTAAACTTCCAACAGGGCGTCTATGGATGTCTATGCGACACACGATGAGCTCACTCCAGTTAACTTCCTGATCTGCATCCAGACACCTGTTTGCCATCAGGAAGCTCATGTTCCTACTGACAGCATTTAAACTCACTGTGACTCAAACACAGGAGGGGTTGACCAACGACAATCATCACAAGAGCAAAATTAGGAGTGCACTGACTGCACTTTTCTGAAGCCAACTCATGCCTCAATGCATTGGCATAACCAATAGGAAAATTCAACTGCAGTAGCCACTGTTCAACCCATAGAGGGCAGCACCAAGATATTTTTAGACCAAATATTGCAGAATTAAACAAATTCACATGAAACTGTCAAAGTTTGCACAGAAAAATAATGATTAATGTCCCCTTAAGGGACAATTTAGACAGTTTTTCTGGGGAGAAAAAAAGTTAATTTTGTGTTTAGTTACTCTTTGAGGTAACTTAGTTGAGGTATAGGTATAGAACTTAACTATGTGCCTGGAAAATACATAATCTCCCTCCCCCTTAAAGTGATCCATGATTAGTTGTAACATTAGATTTTATTTGACAAACATTTATTTTAACTGTAAAATAAAGACTGTAAAACTACTGTAGGCTGTTTAGTTTTTATAATTTTTAAACTAAAAGTTTAAAAATATATTACATGGACTGAGCCATTTTATTTACACGCAACGCATACTGGGTAAATGATGATACTGACTAGGTTATCTGTGCGAGGCTGGGAGCTATATCCACCCTGAAGGTTAATCTTGAACAATATCGGACGTTCAGCTCTTTTAAATGATGTGTGTATATATATATATAT